CCTACCAATAATGTTCCTGCCCAACCCAATTTACCACTTATCTATTTGAGCGCTCTATCATTCTTTTGAAGAAAGTTATGAATTTCCTAGTCAAACACACGCACAGACACACACACTAGCAGACAAAATGAGCGGATTATATATAGTAGGATTATTGTTCGGCCTTTCAAATAGTTTGACCGCGAGACGTCAACGGAGGAAGCTAATCAACACCTTAGCCTTACTTTACCTTGAGGCAGTGTATGTATCCTTCGGGTCATTTCGCTAGTCTATTTCCATTTTTGTGCTCCAAGCTTTTGGACTTTCCCATCTTATTCGGTATACGCAGCACGGTATCTAGAAGGGCATCCGAGTAAGTTCGTAAACCCGCTCAACAGGAATTTGGTGAGTAACTGTGATCTTGCAAATTGTGACTATCTGTTTTTCATTCGTTGCTCTCACTGCGAAAAACTCTTTTGTTTCCATTATTTTGCATTAGACTCCCGTGATTTCGTGATCGTAGATGTATACAAGAAACAATAAAATATGGAGGCAAGAGTCAAGGAAATATTTCATGGAATCGTTAACTGTGGCTTCATTCCTTCAAGAACATTACGCACCGGCGTTATCAAGACAACTGATATGCAAAAGTGCTCACTGATGCAGAGAGACCACTGCCGAAAACATGCAAGACAAAACAGCAAAGATTCAAACCCTCTAAGAGAGGCTTATGACGAGCCACTCGCCCATGCTGCCAGCCGGAGACCTCTGAGACGGTATACATCTCATTTCAAATGCCCACCTCGACGCACCATCCTTTCCTTGTAAGTGCTTAGCTTGATAGAAAAGCTGACGACGCTACATCCTTTGCTGATCCTTCGCACTCCAACCGTGGTGTACAGTTGGGTGTACAATCAGCAATTCTGAGTTCGTTCACGAGCGATTCCCCATGCGGCTTATAAAAGAAAAAAAAGAAAAGTGAATTATTGTGGAATTTTAACACATGCTCTCGGTGCTATGTCTATGTAAATGTAGGTTGATTTATACTGATAGTTGAATATCGGGTCCTCTCTTTGCTGTTTTGTCTTGCAATAATAAAGCGGGACGATGGAAATGTAACGGACGGATTCGAACGCCGCGCACATAGCGAAAACGCCGCGCGGCCCGCCTCTCTGCCGCCGCGCCGTGGCGACGGGCTGATCTTGGTGGAATCCCAATCGTTGCCCTGTTGCTGTGGCCTGCGCGATGAAATCACTGACAATTCCTTTGTGAAGTCCCTTATGATCCTACTATATATAAACGGCAACGTCTGTCTGTCTGTTGTCTGTCTGTCTGTCTGTCCGGAAATTCGGAATCACCTGAAGAGCCAGTTGGAGGGGGCGGGTCAAGGGTGGGTTGGGTAGGGCATGGGCCAAGATGTACGGAACACATGAACTGAGCTAAGCCCCGCCCACTGTGGG